AAAAAAAAAATTAAAAAAAAAAAGTCCTTGTGAAACACAGAATCCTTTGTTTCACCTTCTTTTCTGTCTCCTTACTGAAGCATATGAATATTAGGAAGCAGGGAACAGAAATCACCTATTTTCCTTCATCCCCCATCCCTCTGCATAAGAAAGATAAGCAGCAATTCTAAGAAAGTACAAAGTAAAGACAATATCCAACAACTAATTCAGTAGACTTTTATTGCTCTTTCAACTTCAATAACATCTCTAAAAAATAGTTTTCTTCTAACAATTATGAAACAAATTTGAAAGGCAGGATCGTTCACATTATAGACTTGGAAGAGACTTGTACTTCATATAAATGAAAAATACCAGTTCCACGTTTTAAATGTTTAATTTACCTTGTATTTTATTACAAAAGAAAATATTATCATTGTAATTATAAAAGTCATAAAAATTAGAACTGTACTGTGAAATTATACCAAGCTATCAAATACTATATAAATGAACAATAAAATTCAATTTCTATTTATTCAAACATAGTAAACATTGGAAGATACCCCCCCTACAAAACAAACAAAAACCCCCCAGATTTTTAATATTAAAGCAACAGAAGAAAAGCCACAACACAAAAATCAATCAATGCACAAAATCTGATTAAAAAACCACTAGGGTTTAACAATTACTATAAGTCAACTGTAGAAGTCAATATGTGCTAATTAAAGTTTAAAAATGATCTTTAGATGATTCCATTTCCAACTATGTTTTCCTATTATTGATACTTATATTACTTTTTGATACGTTAGAAAAGAACCAACTTTACATTAGAATTGCCAAATTTTGAATTTTGAACGCTATTTTTAATTTTCAATGTCCTTAAAATCTTTAAGCTTACTTTCTAAAAAATAAATAATTGTTGGACTAAACCAAAAGACATTTCACACATTTGTATTATATATGATAACAATGATGTAATCTACATAAATAAATTTAAAACATTAAGTTATTTAATTTAAACATTTTTGAATTACAATGTTATATCAATGGCTTACACATCCAAAATCTGAGCACTTTAAAACAGGATTCACATGTTGAGCACATTTAAAGAACTGATGTACATGATATGATCCTTGAAAAACAGCAAGCTCTGGTGTAATACCTCAGTTTCAGAAACGATTTTACATTTTACAGAACTTTGAACCTGTCTTTGTGAAAGGAAAAACTTAGAAAGCTATTATATACATACATAAACTTGAAGTATGAGGAAGAAACAAATGCTTTTTGGATGGAGAAAACAAAAATTAGTAATTCTGAGTGGTGAAGAAACCTGCTTTATAAATCCATGCATTAGCACATAAATTTTGTCCCACATTTTACAAAGACTTGGCAAATATGAACATTGATACGCCACAGCTTTTTTCAACAACTGAAGAGATTTAAGATTTTTAACATCATTCTCTCTCTCTCTCTCGCTCACACACACACACACACACTAGAAAGACTGTGCTTCACTTCAGCATATCTAATATTATAAGAGAATATATAGAATCATCCTTTTATCATAAGGAAGTTCATTGTTTTCTCAAAAGCTGCTATTTTAGAGTGAAATAGCATTCAAAAGAAAGTAAATTTCAGATGGTCAACATCAGGATTTATTATAGTCTCTGTAAACAGACATCTATAAATAAATAAAATAGGGTGGAGAGAAGAATATCCTGAGGTGGCTCTGTAGCCAGGGTATTCAGTAGCACTAAGCTCCATCCTGGAAACCAAGGCATCTAAGAAAGTGCAGGGCTGTTTATATTAATTTATTTTGTAAATGGAGTATGTACAGTTTAATTATTTTGCACCTTGAGGTAAATCAGTACATTGCAATTACTACTGCTCATTTACACCTATTTAAGGCAACATTTAAAAATTAATATTATGTAGTAAATTTTTCACTGTCTCGCAATGAACACTATCCATGATTGTTATTGTTCAGAAATAGTGGGAAAATACCATAAACATGTAGAACAAGCAGTTAATTACTTAATAAACATGAGTTACCTTTGCTTTTCAATGGAGTAGTCATATCAGATCATTTTGTAAGTCAAGTAGTCAAAAGAAAGCAGAAACCATTAACAATCAGAAACAGTAAAAACATTCTGAGTGCAAAGTATTTTGCAAGTCATGGTTTTTCTGGCACTGGACAATTACTATACATAATTGAAAAAAATCACAGAAACACTATGATCCCAGGTAGTTTTCAGTTTAAATTTTAAAATCCCTTCCTGTAAAATAAGCACATTTGTTAACCCTAAGATGTCCAGACACAAAGAAATGATGTGAGGAAATCCCCTTGTTCAGGTACATCAGGGGAGTTTACAAAATTAGCAGCAAATACTGGGGTCTTTGGAAATGATTATGCTGCTATGGATAAGAGAAATCATTTCAATGGAAGCTCATAAAGAATAATAAGCACCATGGTTAATACTCGATTATCAATTGCCAATAGAGTCTAACTCTTTTTCAGGCAGTACCAAATGATGCCAGCTCTATTTTCTAAAGAAAAGTAGCTACATTTCCAACTTCTCATTCGAGGCAGAAGTCAAATCCTTTATTTTAACTAGAATCTGAAAATATGGTCTCAGATGGGGAAATTGTATCAGCTACCAAGTAGTTTAGAATGGATTAAAAACACTTCAGGATTGCTAAAATATCAGCTTTTGGCATTCCTCATGATCCTCTATAAGATCAATTTCATACTTTTGTACTTTAATGACAAATGATTAAAGGGAGCATTGGAATTTCATTAAAATTTTCATCCTAATATTCATGTCACAATTTCGGTATTTCTGTGGCTTCTCAATACTCATTTGGTTTTTGTAAATTATCCTCTTGCCAAATCACTTTCACAACCCCATTCATCCAGTCCTACAGGCTTAACAAGAACAACATTTATTTATTTCATGTAGAGCTAAGAGTATATAAAAGATGACTAAAAAGATTTGCTAGCAGTTAAAAAGACAGCTCAGAAAAGCAGAAACTAAGTAAGAAATACCAACACAAACTAGAAAGAATGCCATCAATCTGAGCTATACATAAAATGTCTAAATTCCTTTTAAAATACAAATATGGCAGTGCTTTATATCAAAGATGTAAAATCTGTCAACTGCTTTCAAAGATAATAAACCACAAATGCAAGTGAGCACCAACTATTTACATTAACAATTTAAATTATTCTCTATTTGTTACCTTTTCAAATGTTTATAATATTTAAGTATCATATCAATTAAAATAAATAAAATAGTTTAAAATGAGATCACAGATAGCAATCTATTAAATATTATCTATACCATAGAAAGAATAACAACGTAAACAAGAAAGTGAAAGGTAATTCTTTAGAATAAAGTAATACTGATCATAAGCCCATTAAGAGAATTGTGACTCCTGATTACTTAATCATATTAGCTGTAATAAAAAATAATCAAGAACTTGAAGCTGATATAAACTTAACCACATTTTAAGTAAAAGCAAAGGCAGAGAACAGAGTGGGCATTCTGGGGCTCTTATAAAGCATTAGGATTCTACATTAATTTCTACAAAGGCAACAAAATTTAATTATTATCAATTGGCATTTTACAGCTTCTAAAATCCATAAAGTTATGACTGGTATGGGGTTAAATTATAAAAATCACCTGCAATTTCACTTGTCTATCGGAATAGAAACCTAGATGTGGAAGTTTTAAGATAAAAACATAAAGGTCAAAACTATAGTTCTTATCTAGAAAGTTTCTATTGTTCTACCTTTACAGCCAAAAACTCTCCACTGCTTGTGAAACATGATGGACATCTGCATAAATGAAACACACATACAGAGAAGCCATGACATGTTACCATTTCTCCCACAACACTGGCATAAAGACTCCCTGTTCTTCCCATAAGGAACTAACAGAAGTGAAACAATATGTAAAAATTTTCAGTAACTTAAGTAAAAATTATAAATACATGGACAAAGTACATCACCTAAAGTTGGTATGAATTACCACTGATGAACAAATAGACTTAAAGGAAAAGTAGATTGAATGCATTTCCCCACATCTTTCTGCTGCAGAATAGAAATTTTTTTTTTCAACAGAATAAATAGTAAGAACCATGTACCTCATTTCTAAGAGACCATTTCATTATATACACAGTCTCCATGGTGTTCCTAACAAACTTCAGACACTACTTCAAAAAACCCAGGAGTCACACATAAACAGCATGACATACAATATTGCTATATATAGTGACATGAAATACTCTGTATAGCTATATATATAATTCCTCTTGGTTCAATTCTATAACGAAGTTTCAGCATCCATGTATTTCTTTGTTGGTTCATCTTCAAAATTTATTTTCACACTCACAGGTTTTTCAGGGCTATTTAAAACAAAAAATGAGAATAAATGATTTTGAAATGGACAAATATTACATTCAAAAAATGGCCAACACTTAGTATCCGTAATAAGCCTTTTGAAATGACTAAAAGGACTATTAATACTATAAACATAGGACTCGCTATTATTATTTTACTGCTTTCTTTTCCTATCAGTAAACTGGACTGGAAAGACAAATATTAAAAATTCTTAGTTTTTTTTAATGGATATGCTTGCCACGGAAATTCATGTTTTTCTTACAAATGAAAAGGATTTTCTTAAAATCAGTCATTATATTTTTAAAAATAGTTGTACATTGTGACATTTCACTGACAAATCCATTAAAAAAGCAATCTTTGTTAATATAGATAAGCATCAAATAATTTTCTGCAAAATGTAACAGATTTACAAACTCTCCCCAAATTTGGTTCACAAATACAAAATCAAAACACATATATTCTATATTTTCAAGTTAATATCAAATACAATGAGTCCATGTCCATGGATTTAAGTGACTAATTTAATTGTAACATATGAATATCTGTGTTTTGAAAAAGCTGTCCAATGTAGAATAACACTGTGGTTTGTTGCCTTCTCCAGATAAGATTGAAGGAAAGACCTCCAAACATTTTTTCTGTTAAATGACATAACCCAAACATTGTCTTTCTTCCCCTGTGATTTGGAATTGAGGGGCAACCTGAATGAAAGGCAGAAGTATAAAAGATACTTTCATATTACTGTGTAATATATAATAATATTATTGTAAGGTCTTTACATTTGTAACTATACTATAATCTGGGCCACAAGTACTGACAAGGTGTGAAAAATTATTAAGAGTAAAAAGAGCATCAAACTAAATTCTAGCTGCATGGAATAATCAGAATGACAAAGAGTTAAATTTAAAAAACTTTTAAGATCAAAGACAGAAGAAAGGAAACAGTCCAGTTTAGAGAATCAGAAGTCAAGAAATGATTAAAAAAAAAAAAAAAAGGAGGTCGGGGTCATAATAGAGATTAAGTAGGAGCAAAGCTCTAAGAAGAGGTGGGGAAGGAATGAATAAAACCCAACCAATTATTATGAAAAGACAGTGGCCAGAAAGACAATAACTAATCCATCAGAAGCAGCTGGTGACCATTTGCCCAGAGAAGTTTCAATCTGACGTCCAAGCAGAGTATACGGACACCCAACAGTGTCTGGCACGAAGTGCACACAGAGTATTTGTGGAATATGAATGACTGAGTGCACTACAGGATAATACCTCATTTCTCCACAGACCCAAAGGATTAAAGTACTAATGGTTATCAAACTAGAATCACTTAGATTCAGGCCTTAAAATGAGGGTAAAAGAAAGAAAAAATGGCTTCCTAACAAGAAATCTAAGAAAGGAGTTATGAAAATTGTTATGGAATACGTGGTCCATTATAACACCGAATGGCGTTTATATCTATGGATTAAGAATTTCTTCCAACTATCTTCTAGTAAAATGTTTAACCTCATCTGAAGAAAAGGCAGGCTAAAACAAAACAAAACAATCATGTCTGTCTTTTTTCCTGGACCATCAGAAAGCATGACTGCGGTAGTGTTTACTTAAAAGAGTATTTATGTAACCCCTAGTAATTATCTTTCTTATATGGTTTTGATCTTTTATATACTTATTCCATACTGCCATATGTATAATATTCATTTTTACTATAAAATGGCTCAAATTCTTTTTGGAAACAGGCAATTATGAATTTAAAAAGTAACCTATCAGCACTTATATCATTATTTCCAGTATTCAGTAAAATGATGGATAGACAGATAAAAGAAAGAAGGAAAGAAGAGAAAAAGGCTGGCTTTGTTAAGAGAATATAACTTATGCAAACTGAGTTACATTTAATGGTTTTATGAAATAGCTATCTATCCATAAGTCAACTGAAAATTGGCTACAGTTAGAAAATGTGTAAAGAGTTACAGCTACCTCGTGCTAGATCTGGTTACTTTGGCATTCTCAGTATTCATGGAAAGTGCCTTCCACTGTGCAGTTTTGGCCATTTCATCTGATATGTTAACAACTGAGGGATCAACACTGAAGAACAAATACACTTTTTGGTTAGTATTCAGTACTTGCAAAAGCATTAATACTGTCACTCTTAACTATATAATATTTGTCTTCATCAACATTAAATTGAGAACTCTTTGTCATGCACTTAAACCAAGGTCTAGCAAATATCAGAATTTTAGAGTTCTGTTAGAAAGGTTTCATGGGGAATTACATCCTTCTGTATAATCAAAACTAGGAGTAAGATTAATTAAATTGGCAATGATGCCCAAAGATGATCATCTTGGCTATAAGCCTATTATTGAAATAACAAAGGAATACATTAAATACAAAAAATACAGCCTCTTATGTTAATAAAAAAAAATAGTAATAAAAAAATACAGCCTCAAGTCAATTAGAAAACTTTTATAACTGGCACAAATTTCAGTTTCATCAACTAAAGATCCAAAGTATGTAAGGAAAACTTAAGATTATGGTTTTAAAAAAAAAAACTAGTTTTTAATAATTAAAAAAAAATCATTAAAAAGAATGATGGAAAAGGCAACAGTAAAAATAAAGCTCTGAAAATATTTGAACAGATAACACAAAAACAGGCTTATAAATATCACTTTCAGCTGACATTCACATTTTTAGTGTCAAAGTGTTATTCTATCAAATTTATCAAAATTCAAAATCAAAAGAACAAAATATTGTCCTTTCATTGTAAGGGATAAATGTAATCATTCCCTGTCTCTATAAAATACTGCAAAATTCATTCGAGACCCCAAATCCAACCATGATAATATCCATAAATAATTTTGGGCTCAAGGTTGTCAGCCACAAGTAATATGAAAGTACTATGAAGTTAATAGAAATATATCTGCAAGTCCTTTTTCTTCACCAAAAGAGTAATATTTCATGCATGCAAGTGACAAATACAAATGTCAAATTAGGTGTTAGGTTCACAGTGTGATGGCAGCTATGTGATAAAATAACTAAATGGCAGTCATTTTAGAAAGTACTAGCTTTGTTCACAATTTAAATCCAAATGTCATTTAAAATATAAGACTTCAGAGAAATGTGACATGGTCATTGCAGAATCCCTAGGAAAGGTGCTTTACCGGGTCAATTTTTTTTAAAGTGCACAAAATTTGAATGCCCAAATTCACAAGGGCAGAGCCTACCTACTCTGAGTAAATGTTTCTGTGGCTGGTTGCCAACTGCAAATAACTGAAGAGAGACATTCTTGAAGCACTTTCTAGCTTCAAATGTCCCCCTCTAAGCACTTTCCCATTAGTAGAAATTAAGACCTTTTTTTAAAGACAGTACATGTTTTGTTTTTTCCCAAAATGAAACGATGGGGAAAAAAAATCTGTCTACATTAAATCAATTACTTTCATATTTTATAGAGTTTTACAGTTTCTAAATGTTTTTCTTTATTATCTCATTTGATTTTCATGGCAAGTAATCCAAAGCTACTTAAGATTTTAAATTATGACAGATAAACAGGTCAGCCAATTGCTGGCATTCTTAATGTTCAAAATTTAAGCAAAGCAGCATTAATCTTGGCCTATGTCATCACTTAAAAAGAAAAGTAAATATACAGATAATCATTCTTTTTGTTAAACATCAGACAGTATAAGTATACATTCCACTTAAATTTATCAAGGCCCATGTATAACCATACTGAGAAAGTGATAATGCAGGACCTACAGAAACTAAGTGGTGAATAATCTCAGCAAATTGATGAGTCACTAATAACCATCATGGTAGTTCCTATGCTCTTTTTGTAAGTACAAGAAAGTTAATATATTAATTTGTTTAATAAACATTAATACATTCCAGCAAAGCAGAGCACTATAGCTGGGTATATTAAGATGTCTATACTTGGCACTTTAAGTATATAAGAAAGATTTGAGGGAAAATCATGAAAGGTGACACAGAGTAATACCAATGATGAAAATTAATAGTAAAAAGTATAAAGGAACATTATTTGATGAATTCATTTATCAAAACTAACCAACATGTACAAGTCTAAATAAGACCTCTGTAAAAACTATAAAAATTAATTAAAAAATGAAAAAAACCCAAAGTTAATAAATACCAACAAACCCTTTCCATTAATTGGTCAGGGAAGGAACCTATATACATTCTAAAACTGACTTTTCTACTATCAATAGCTAATCAGAAATAAATATGGAAATAGGAATCAGATACATGCATAAGTAATATAGGTTTTTAATCTTTTAAAACTACAAAAAAGTAAACAGAAGAATTTACCACTGCCTTTAGTTCTTAAATTTATAAGTAAATCACCAAAGTCATACAAAATAAGCTATATATGGAACTCAACTTTTTCTTAATATGAGCACTCACTGCCAATAGTCAAGTCACACCTTTGAACTCCAGGGCCTCTAAACATAGTCACAATTTGGAAGGTTATCAGAAAATGGATTACAAAGGTTAATTTTCCAGCACACACTGATGCAGGCCTAATAAAGGACAGAAAGGAAAAAGCTATACTGATTTTAATCTCCATTTAAACAGAAGGAGTGATGCACGACAAGTAACTCTTGTCTGCTTGGCATGGAAGTTGGTTTCAGGCTCTGGTCCAAGTCCAGCTTTTTCTTCACTCCTGCCTACAAACCTGCGAGGGGAAGAACCATGAGACTTCCCTTTCAAGTTCCTGAAGACCCCCTTTAGTTCTTGGCATTATGCCAGATACCGGTTTTGTCATCTTTTTAAAAACAGAGATCACTGCTTTTTGAAAATAGAGATCACAAAGCATTGCACGGCTTATTCATGTACTTGACACGTATAAAAAAATACATTTTACAAGATAGTTTTATCTCACCTATATTTTAGGGCCTTAACTGGAATCTGTAAGAGACTTCCCCCTTCAAATGGAAGGTGCACAGTGTCATCATCAGCTTGAAGCATTCGTTCAGCTTCCTTCAGAGCACATACATGAAAAAATTACTTTTCCCAGAATATTTCCAGGAGGACCAATTAATATATAAAATCTTCAAGAATTAGAAACCCAAACCGACAATATATTTAAACATATTTGCCATGACTGAAAAATTCCTTTTACTATTATAAATACATACTGGTAGCACAAAAAGAAAACAACCACTTGTAAAGGCTAAATTTTAAATGGTTATAACTTTCATTTCTTTAAGTTAATCATGAATACTACATTAAAATCAATTTACATAAATTTTATTAACAAATTATTAGTATATAATAGATAAAATTTTGTGAAATCTGATGGCTTGCATTACAATACAATATAAGCAAAACCTCATTTGGATAAGGCAGGATTTCTCAATCTCAGCAATACTGACATTTAGGGCCAAACAATTCTTTGTAGTAAGGGGCAGTCCTGTATATGCAGGATGTTCGGTAGCACCCCAGACCTCTACCCACTGGATGCCCATCCAATTCTGACAATCAAAAATTTCTCAAACACGGAAATATGAACCCTGAGGAGAAGTGTCACCCCTGGTGGAGAACAATTTACACTGGAGACATGACGCAAAATCATGGTATCATAATTACTGGGGACATGACAGGATGGACTGGAAGAGCATCTATACTCTCCTTTCTTACCACTAGAAACCCCAGTATTTGTAGGTGGCACTATGCCCAGCTTTTAAAAAATAATCATTTAAAAAAAATAAAACCATTGCTACATTTCCCAGCATTCCCTGCAACTCCATGTGGCCATGAGATACAAGTGGAACTTACTGGATGGCATTTCTGGAAAGACTTCTTAAAAAACAGGATAGCAGGGGACAGCCCATTTTGCTTTCTCACCCCATCCCCTTCCTTCCTGCCATCTCAAATGCGAACATGACAGCTCAAGCTCAGCGTTCATCTTGACCTATTAGGTGATTCTGAGAATGGAAACTGTGTGCCGAGGATGGGAGGACAGCAGCACGGAAGCTCCAGACAACTCTGTGGAACCATCCCACTAGATCACTTACTCCTCAAGACATCTACAGGAGAGCATAAACTCTTGTGTTTAAGCCTCCTTTACTTTCGTCTTCAGTTATATACACTGAACCTTATTCTAACTTAAAAAGAAAATAATAAACAGGTAATTTTAACCTAAGTATTTCATAAATGAATTGCATCCTCTTTGAAAATTCACCAAAAGCTCATGAACATTTACATATATAATATAGTTTTAAAGAAAACAATAATCTTTTAAAAGTTTTGGAGGCTCAATTCAAACTAGTGTTCCAGTTAGTATCCTAATTAAAGAGTCATAATTTTTGTCAAAAAGTAAACATAAAACCAGTAATTTTGCCATAAATCAGCACTGAATAATCAATCCAAACTATGAAAAAAATCCCAAGGCTTAAACCCAGTTGTCCATAAAGTTTTAATAAATACATTTCCATAAATACTATGCAATATAATAAGGCATAAATTACGTTGCTTTCTCTCAAAAATGAGAGGGAAAAAAGTAATTGTGAGATCTCTATTTAAACACACCACAATATTTAAAATGTGTATCTTTCTTCTTATCTTTGATTTTCAAACAATATTCTTAATGGGAAAACTGAGTAGGGTACTAAAATCAATACAATCATCTATGCTATATGTTCAGTTTCTACTTTTCCTTCTTACTAATAGCATTGAGCTGGTTATTTAAAAAAATCAAATTCAGAATAAAATATTCATGTAAATCTCTGTATACAAATTAACTAATGGTACATGATACCACATATTAAGACTAGAGTTTAACAGTACTTTTTATAAAAAGATTAAAGTCCCCTTTGTCATTATGTATATGTCAGATTATTAAAATGTTAAAATTAAAATGTACACTACAATATGCTTATGTATTTAATGTGCTTGTGTTACCTATGCTTTATCTATGTTTTAAACACTGCTAAATTCTCTCACTGTTAAAAATAAGTACTCATGTGATACGTAATTTTTAAAAGGTTATTGTTGGGTCAGGGCTTTGGAGAGGCAACTTAAGTTGGTAAAATGGGTCAGAGCTGATGTTTTGAACAAGTTACCTACTAACCTCTGCCTCAGTTTCCTTATTGGTAAACCAGAAATAAAAGAAGTACCTACACTTCATAATAATAAGGTTCTTAGGAGGATTAAAGGAGCAGATTCCTGTAAAGTGACCACGAGAGAGCCTGCTACCTGGTATGAAATATTAAACAACAAGTGAATAGCGTAAATTACCTCTTTCTCTTTTTTCTTTTTGTCATCTTCTTTCTTTTTCTTACTTTCTGGCATGAGATCATCAAGCCAACTAAGTTCTCTCTTTGTGAAACACAGATCCATGAGTTTGCGTACAAAGACTAATGCAAGAACCTTAAAAAAGTGGGGGAGAAACTATTAAGTAACATCTAAAAATATATAAATTATATCTAAAGAGAAATAGTATCAAGTCATAAATAACAAAAAAGTACTTCATGTATTTTATTTAAAAATCACTTCAGGGGCCCCTGGGTGGTACAGCTGATTAATCGTTGGGATTCTAGGTTTCAACACAGGTCATGATCTCAGGATCATGATAATGAGCCCCACCTCGGGCTCCACGCTCAGCAAGTAGTCTGTTAAAGTCTCTCTCTGCCCCTCCCTAAGTGCACGCGTGCACTCTCCCTCTCTCTCTCAAATAAAATAAATTTTTTAAAAAATTAAAATCACTTCATACACCATCTTATCTCAAAGGAACTGAGTCACATATTTATCTTTCAAGCTTCCTGCTCAAAGCAAACATATAAAAGAAATGGCATTTTTAACCTCTTCCTATATAAATCCCTTGCATTCTGCATAAAATTATAAAGCAGATTAAGCACAGTATCTTCACAGTACAAGATTATTAATTTTTATGATGACTTTAAATTATATACATTATATAGGCAGATATAACTTTTTCTTTTTTGAGCGTGTGTGAGAGGGGGGAAGAGAGGACAGACAGAGAATCTTAAACAAGCTCCATCTACGCCCAGCACAGAGCCCGATTCAGGGCTCGACCTCCTGACCTGAGCGGAAATCAAGAGTAGGACGCTCAACTGACTAAGACGCCCAGGCATCCCTAAATAGATATAAATTTAAAAATCTCTTAAGCAATGCAACAGAGAACCCATTTGCCAATATTAGGCTTAGATTTTCCAATCACATATATGAAAAAGATATACCATTACTTTGTTTTCCTCTAACTGCTACTAAGGTTGAAGATATTTTCAAATGTCCATTGGCCATTTGGGTTTCTTCTGTTCTTACCATTTTCCTTATTACTATCTTTTGCCTGGTTTTCAATTGCTTTTGATGACTTTTATTCATGAATTCATAAGAGCTCTGTGTAGTTCAGACAGAAGCATTTTATCTGCCTTATATGTTACAAATGCCTTCTCCCAGTTCACAATCCAATTTTACTATGTTCATATAAAACATTTAATTATCATGTGGTCAAATATATCTTTCCTTTACAGTTGGGTTTCCCTATCTTCTTTGAAAAGTTACCCTCAATCACTGGACTATACAAATATTTTTCAAAATTTTCTACTACATTTTAACATTTAAATCTTCAATTCATTCATGGTTTCTTTCTGAATATGGTACTGGTTACAGAAGCAACCTTAGCTCCCATACACAGTCAAGTCTTCTAAGACTATATACTAAATTTTCCCACATAGACGAATTATCACCTTTAATGAAATAACTTGTTCATGGTACTCAAGTGGTAAGTTCTCACATATTCTGATAAATTCTGGACTCACTAGTCTACTTTTCTGATTTCTGTCTGTTCCCATGCCAATTCCATGCTGTGTTGGCTGCACTGACTTGACAGCAATTTTTAAATATTTAGTTATCACAACAGCATGGTATCAGCACAGGAACAATCAAGTCCCTCACCCCAGACCCAACCAGGAATTCTTAATTAGCTTTGTTTTGTTATTCCTCTGGTATTTATTATATCCTTATTTTTTTCATTAATATGCAATTTACATATAGTAAAATAGAAAAATATCATATATACAGTTTGACACTTTTGACAAACATACATATTCATGGAACCCACATCCAAACAAGATACAGAACATTTCTACCATCCATGTTGTTATCTATGACTCTGGCACTTATTTTTCTCTATAAGCTTTAAAATTATCTGGTTCACACTGACAACAACCTCCCCGAATACACACAAACACACACGCAAATAAAACTCATAAAATTCATACTTGGAAATGACATCTTTACAATACTAAGTATGCAAAACAAAGAACATGATATATATTCCTCTTTGTTCAGGTCTTAATTTTATGTACTTCAACATTATTATGGATTGAATTGTGTCCCCATGAAAGATACACTGAAATCCTAACCCCCAGTACCTCAGAATATGACTTTATTTGGAAATAGGGTTGTTGGAGATAAAATTAAGATGAGGTCATACTGGAGTAGGGTGGGTTCCTAAAACAGTACGTCCAGTATCCTTATAAAATGGCCATATAAAGATACAGTGATACACAGAACACTACATGACAAGGTGGCAGTTTGGAGTTATACAGTTGCAACACAATGCCAAAGACTTTCAGCAAACCACCAGAAGCTAGGAAAAGGCAAAAAAGGGTTCCCTTACAGGGTACAGAGGGAGCATGGCCCCATCCACACCCTGACTTCAAACTTCCAGCATCCAAAGCTATCATTATAATAAATTTCTTTGGTAAGCCAATGAGTTTTCTGGTAACCACCCACTCTAACAGCATTCTTACTAATTCTATTAGGGGCTTTTAGTCTTTTTTCATTTGAGTCGTTTGAGTTAATAGGCAAACAATCACACTATCTACAAATAATGTTATCTCTTCCTTATAACAAATATTGTATTATTCTTATATCACAGTTAGAATCTTCATATCAAATAACAACAGTAATAGTGTGCTTCCCTATATTAGAACTCAGTTACAAATTTTTATTCACAATGACTGCAATTTTATAAGTCTTTCTATCTTTATGTTGGTAATTCTTACTTGCTGCTAAAGTATCACAGTCTATTTAATCATGATATATTACTTATAGAAACACTGTAAATTTCTTTATTTGTTAATATCTTAAGATTTTTTGCACTTATATTAGTGAGAAGTCACCATCATTCTTTTGTACAACTTTATTAGGCTTTGGTATTAAGATCTTGTTAGTGTTTCATGAGAAAAAATGCAGACGTTTCCATCTTTTCCTTTGGTCTACAATAAGTCAAGAAGTACTGGAATTAAATGTTCTTAAAACTCAGTTGGGCCTGTGATCCAAGGGCAGATCTTTGGCCATTTTTCCAGTCTCTTGTATGCAACTGAGTTATACAGATCCATAGATTTTATATTTCTCTTTGGGTTAATTCTCAGAAACGTATGTATGTATAGAATGGAAATAATCCATCTCCTCTAGATCAGTGGCAGGAAAACCACAGCCCTTAGATTAAATCTGGCCCTACCTGTTTTGTATGGCCTGTGACCTAAAATAGCTTTTAAAGATGCACATTTGGAATTGATTTGATGACAGGGAATACTAACTTTAAACCTCAGCCTCAGCCAAGTGAAATATTATCCTAAATGAAAAAGAATTCCATTCTTCTCATTAGTAGTCTTTCATTTTAATTTTTTTAATTAACATAATGTATTACTTGTTTCCGGGGTACAGGTCTGTGATTCATCAGTCTTACACAATTCACAGCGCTCATCATAGCACATACCCTCCCCAATGTCTATCACCCAGCCACCCTATCCCTCCCACCCCCCTCCACTCCAGCAACCCTCAGTTTGTTTCCTGAGATTAAGAGTCTCTCATGGTTTGTCTCCCCAAGATGAAACCAGAGTAGTCTTTCATTTTAAAAAACTGTAAAATTACTTTTTAGATTTCACCAATAAGAAATTATGGAAATTTCTCTCCTGTTATAGAAGTGCCTATATATCTTGTGACCTACAAAGCTGAAAATATTTACTATTTGACACTTTACAGAAATAAAGTTGGTCAACCTCTACTCTAGATGTATAATATTCCTATAGATTCATGTAGTATTTTCTTAAAGCCCTTCAAATCTCTTTCACAGCTGTGATTACATATCTTTTCTCTTTCTTAATCTTGTATATTTTGCTCTCTTTTCTTCTTTTTTTTTTTTTAAAGATTTTATTTATTTATTTGACAGAGAGAGACACAGCGAGAGAGGGAACACAAGCAGGAGGAGTGGGAGAGGGAGAAGCAGGCTCCCCGCAGAGCAGGGAGCCCGATGCGGGACTCGATCCCAGGACCCTGGGATCATGACCTGAGCTGAAGGCAGTCGCTTAACCAACTGAGCCACCCAGGCGCCCGCTCTCTTTTCTTCTTTACTCAAGCTTGGAAGGAGTTTATTCACTACTGATTTTACAAATAAAAAATTTGGTTGCATTTTTTTAAGTCTTCTTGAATAATATATGTAATGAAGGGTATACATTTTCCTTATGAACTTTAGGTGTCTCTCACAGACTTGGTTAAAAATTCTCTGCTGCAATACCTACAATGTTTTTTTTAACTCAGTTTTCAACCCAGGGATTATTTCAGCATTTAATCTCTAAATGCTTTAGATTTTTCTAGTGCTTTTCATTATTCATCTGTAACTTAATTTATTTGTGATCAGGAAATGTAATTACCTGCATAATTTTTATAGCTTTTTAATTTTTAAGATTTTCTTTGTGGTCAAGTACATAGCCAATGTTTACATGGAATTTACAAAAGGATGAATATTCTGTTTGCAAAATGCAATATTCTGTGGTAATTTAGTGAACCATATTGTCTTATTAATATATCATCTAAAATCTTTATTATTTTTTAACTTCTAGATCTGTTAATTTCTGAGAAAGATGTACTGAAACATTCTATTAAAGAACTAAGCTGTTCCAGTTGCTTTGCTTTTTTACATCTGGTTATCATCTTTGTCCCACAAATGTAAAAGTTGTTTAAAAATACAAAACAGCATTCTATAGCCCAAGGACTAACAAACAAACAAAAATATAGAAAATAAAAAGCAAATTCAGTTTCTGAAGCGACTGGTTTAATAGCTATGAAAGGGCCAATTCATATTTCAAAACACCTAAGGTGCTTAAAATGGGCTATTTCCTTTCTCAAATATAAATATTACTAATACATTACTATATTATAGTACTAAGATAAACGTTAGTAAAGCACTGTTGAAACACACAGGAGTGTTATTAACTAGTGACAAAGTCTGAAAAAGTTAGGAGAAAAAAAAAAAAAAGCCTTACCATCATGGGAAAAACTACCGCAGCAGCTGAAGCTTTTATCACCCACAAAAGAACCAGACAAGTGAGCTGAATGACTGTGAAAATATGGACCTTCCAGAGAGGCACGTAACGAAGGTATATCAAATCGGGCTGATGCTTAGCAGGCATTCCGAATAATTTTATACGGTCAAAAAACTATGTATTGAATGGAAAACAAAGCAAGAAAAAGTTTTCAACAAAAGTATCATTTCTGCTACTTAGGAAATTATATACAACCTTAGCGTTTTGTGATTTAAACTCTAATCCTTGATATGTTCTGATAGTATAGGAGAATATTTCAGTACAGAACATCTGGACTCAAGCAGAGGAGCAAAAACCAAGGCAATCATTCTAATTTAATGCAATTAATTTAATCAGAAAACGCAAATGAAAATGTCTTAATTTGTGGGATTAAAATATTTAAATAAATTTATCTGCTATAATCAACTGCACAAGGCATTTACTTTCTTTGACCTTGTTTTCTAATATGTACAATAAGAGAGCCACAATTTCCTAGGTTCTTTCCAACTCTAACATTATCAATTTTATAAAATAGCCTGAAGTAACAATTACTAAACTTTCACCCAATGAAAAGGAAACGATGAGCAAACTCCTTGGTCTTTTTGAACTTTAGTTCCCTCATTTATAAACCAGGAGTAAGATCTCACAAAATTGTAAACGAAAGTTGTAAAAGAAAAAATTAAAAAAAGAAAATCAAGTGAGTTAATGAGATCACTCCTTGACCAGTGGAGGGGAGATCCAGGACTACTGAAAAAAATAAAGATGCTGTCTCTGAGAAGCCTTGCCAGCACCAGCTGTCAGCTTTCCCTGATAAGGTGGCCATGCAGTGCTAACAGTGCTTTCGGAGCCCAATGTTTTACAGGAAGAACTTAGTAAATTTTATCAGGTTGTTTTCCAGGAATTATTATCAACAAGACAAACAGAGTAGGGAAATCACTGGGTTCTAACCCTGGCTCCATTGCTTACTTGGTTAAGAATCATCCATAAGTCCCTCTATTCCTGTTTCCCAGGTGACAAAATTAATATTTCTTCCTTGCCTGCTGCTTAACAATGTTTTGAGAATCACAGACAATAATCTGTGTACTAGGCTTTATAAACTGTATTGCACCACACAAATGGCAAGTATTAACCATTCCAGTCCTCAACATGCCCCCTTCTTACTATACTAGTCTTTATCAATAGTTACAGGGCCTTTCATTGGCTTCTATTAAAAATAAGTAAGGATGATCTCCTTCATGAGCTCATTGAGGGAAAAATGTGTAGTAAGCAATAATCACTTGGAAAATGTGGATGTGAAGTCATCAGCTAACCTGCCTCCCAGAGTATCAGAGTTGAGCATACATCACTACCATCATAAAAACAATCTTTGCAAATTTAAAATATGTTTTAACTTTTTCTACAAAATTATTAACTACTTAAGACTTGCCTGGATTCCTTTTAATGAGGAAACTCCCATATAAAGGAAAACACCATACAGGACAGGCATTGGAATAAACTGTAAATAAAAGGACCACAGTTAGAACCCATGCTACTAAAACAATTTCATAGTAATAAAATACACAAAAACATAGTGAGTACCTATGGAGACAGAATTAAAAGATCTTTCAGTGATGAGATCTAACTTTTCTATAAATAAGAAAAATGCTAATAAACGAGAGCCTCCTTGAAAAACTGTCTCTCTCCTACATGTTTCTTCCTGAAACGGGAGAATGTTCAGTGGTTAAGAATATGAGCACTACAATCAGACTGCTTGGTTTAAAATGGAAGTTAACCTTTTCTTGAGCCTTAACCTCTCTATGCCATAATTTCTGTAACAGATTGCATGAAGATTAAAGGATCTCAAATACTAAAATACTCAGAAAAGCACATGGTGCCTATCAATCAAAAGCTTTAGCCAGGAATTAAAATAAAAACAATAAAAAATTTTTAAAAGCATTAGCCATTATTATTGTTATCACTACCATATAGTAACTACTATTCAATAGTACCATTTACTGATATAATAATTGAACTCCACTCCCAAAGAAAGTCCTTATTACTTTGGCAGTTAGAGGGATCCCAAATGCCTACCTACCATACCTAGGCATCCTACAGGAAAGCCATTAGCAGGCTCCATCCACCTACTCAAAAACCACAAGCAGTACTCTCACCACCAAGAAAAAGAACTGCAAAGAAAAAAGACCTAACAGCTACAGAGGAAAACCACATTCACGCTCTACTGAACAACTGAGTATGTCCTTCCTAAGAAACCTAGGAGGAAAAAGTACTACAGGAAGAGAAGAAAACAAGTTAAAAATCTAGTAAGTACCCTCAGGAAATTTCAAGAAAATATTTTATCCATAAAGCAACTTCAGAATGCTAGGAAAAATAAATAATCAGAATGAAAAAGGCTTCTAGAAATTTAAAGAGATAATTATCAAAATAAATAATTTTGTAATAATGATTTTGATGAGACTAAAGAGATCAATCTAAGAAAAACAGGAAATTTTCATTAAGAGTGAGGGCACAGGATAGAAACATGAGAACATTTCCAGAAGGTAAAATATCTGTCTACCTGAAGTTGAAGAACTATCTAACAGAAAGAAAAGAAACTAAACACTGGCCAAACATTCCCATAATCAAAGGCACAAGTTTCCAGAGAACAATGGCCCATAGCGAGAGCGGTAGGGTGAATGAAAGTCCTTATCCATATATCCACCTAAATATCCTAGTGAAATTGCAGAACACCAGGAGTAAAAAGGAAGTTTTGGTAGCTTCTAGAAAGGAAGAAAATGCCTCTGAAATTACAAAAACCAAAGAGGTATCAGACATTTTATTCGGACCACTGGTCTATAGGAAACAATGACTTTAAGACTCAAAGAAAAGGGCGCCTGGATGGCTCAGATGGTTGAGCGTCTGCCTTCGGCTCAGGTCATGATCCCAGGGTCCTTGGATCGAGTCCCTTGGATCGAGGGAGAGCCTGCTTCTCCCTCTGCCTCTCTCTCTCTCTCTGTCTCTCATGAATAAATAAATAAAAATCTTTAAAAATAAAAAAAAAAAGACTCAAAGAAAAATAATTTGAACACTGAAACATAGGTATATCTATCAATCAAATGTGAGAATAATTTGAAACATGAAAGAACTCTGAAAGTTTACCACCCATGGCACCACATATGAAAAAATTAGGAATTCCTTTAGCAATGCAAAAAAAAAAAAAAAAAGATGTAAGAAAAAGTAGAAATAGCATATGCAATTCTTTTTTTAAAGTAAGGGAAGGTAACAGGTGCTAAGAAAACTTATTGGGTCCTAAGGCTTGGGCAGTTACTCTTCAAGCAGCAATAGGAGATTAGGGAAATAGGGTGTATTTCTGCCTCCACTCAGGCAGATCGGACTGCTTAGTCCTCAGTGAACACATGTGTATCATCATAATACTGCTTATGTGTTCCCAGAGGGTTTACATTTTTATAATTTAACTTACAGAAAAAGCATGGACAGTTTAATTATAATTACAGCACAAAATGCAAATGTTGATAACCATTAAAATAAAACTAAAAACACAGTCAACCAAAGGCAGGTGATGGAAGGAAGACTGGCTGGTAGCCACTTAAGTGTGCTAAATCCTCATAAAACATCCGACCTTACATGACACACTCCCAAGGTATTTAGTCTCAGGACCCCTTTATGTTCTTCAAAGGTATACTGAGGACACACTCCCCAAATACTTTTGCTTTTGTGGACCCAGAGGTCGTCCTTAGACTAAACTTTGAGAATCACTCTTAGGCAAAGAGACTCAGTGTAAAAATAATAAAGCAAAAAATAAAATTATAAAAATATGTAAAACTATAATGGTTGTAACCACCAATATAACTTAAAAAAACAAAAAAGTTCAAAAGAGTTTACCTCTGGAGAGTTGTTTTTGGAAAGTAAGGGAGAATAGGGAGACTAAGGTTTCATTTTAGGGCTTTCTTGATGTTCTATTTGAATTTTTCTGCCTATATACAGTCAATACTTAAAAAATTTTAAAGGCAACCTTCCTTAGTAAGGGACAATATCCCCGTAAGAGTGCACTAAATCTTTCTCCTCTTTTGTCAAGTACTTCTAACAATACACTCACCACAATGCAGTAAATATCCCTTTACCTATCTGTTTCACCAACTAGACTGCCAAGTTCTGAAAAGCAGACAATAATATATCCTATTTATTATTATTTCCTCAGTCTTAATAGCAGAGTAAGTACTCAACAAATATCTGGTGAATTAGTTGCTAGAAAGTTCATAAGATGAAGGCCAAAGAATTCTAATTTTTTTAGTTAATATAATAACATACATACACACTCCAAGTTTTGTCCCCAATTTATAAATGTACACAACTCTTTACTTAATAGTTTTCTTTGCAATAACTAAAACACCAAGGGAAAAAATGGAGTTGAGCTCTTCCACAATGAAAAGAAAATTTCAGATTAGGTACTTTGCTACATTTGCTATTATTATGTTTTTTAATCACTAGATTCATTAGGATATGTATAGTAAAAACCAGATGTAACTAAAAGATATTTAACATAAAGTTTAATTTCTTGCATACTTCATTTATATTAGCTGTTTGTTTGTTTGTTTTTAAGATTTTACTTATTTATTTGACAGATAGAGACACAGCGAGAGAGGGAACACAAGCAAGGACAGCGGGAGAGGGAGAAGCAGGCTTCCCGCCGAGCAGGGAGCCCGATGTGGGGCTCAATCCCAGAACCCTGGGACTGTGACCTGAGCCGAAGACAGACGCTAACGACTGAGCCACCCAGGCGCCCTGTTTTTGTTTTCTAAGGAGCGCTACTACCTTTATTTCATTTAGTTGATCAGAAATAATACATTTATTTAATTAATAGCAATTATTTTCACATTTTGGTCAAATAACTATGTCAAACATATTTCACTATTACTTCCTCTAAGATGCCTATAAAATCCTCTGGGTATATTCTTCTTTTAGATCATAACTAAGCCATGGATTAACTCCTTCCAAAACTCTATAGTCTTTAATACTATCCTTTTACAGTATTTCTAAGATGGACACATCTAACACTGAAATGCCTCCCATACTAAACACCATATAATAGAATATTATTTTCCAAGTAAATTCCAGGAAATGAAACTAATTTTAGATATTTTCATGTTTCATTTTCATACAACCAAGTATAATTTTATGACAAAAAAGATGTTAAAATATTGCAATAGAGATTTTACCTTTAGTACTGAAGTCATGAACACAGACAGGCCCATTAGAATAAAAATCATTAGCCCTGTAACTCGCTGTTCACGAATTCCCAAAAACTTGGGTTGTTCCCCTGGAGCAGAACATTCAGATTCAAGTTTCAAGCTGTTGACATGACTTATTGACAACACTGTTGCAGCCACAAACCATGGAAGTCCCATGACAGAGCAAACCCCCAACATAACACCAACCATGAGCAAATCAAGGTGATAGCCAGCTCCTTTCTGAAAAGTGAAATGAACATGAATATTTATAAGTCTGAACTGTTCTTTTAGGTTAAAATTCTATATCACTTTATAAACAGAGAAGAAATTAATTTTGATCTCACATCTTTTAATGTTCCAGTCATTATGAAAATACCTCAAACTCTTGAAGAAATTACAAAACCTGACACAAAATTTTAAAATTACCTTCAATTTGTGCTCCTTTCTGTTTATGATTACAGCTGTAATTTGTTGATCCATAAAGATGAGAATGGTACAAAGCAGAGCTGGAATAGCAGCTATTAATAAAGTCCACCAAGGATTTTCTCCCAATGGGCTTATGATCCAGCCCCTACTTGGATCAGTAGGCTGTTAAAAAATTAAAGATAAAAAGAAAAAAGTTTCTTCCTACCGCACAAAACTTCCACAACATAGGCTGTGTCTATTCCAAGAAATTCCAAGGGATAAGAAAGAACTAGATTAAATCTTGGAATGGATGGTGAATTATCTGCACAAGAATGCTTCCCATCCCTCAACGCAGGTCCCTTGGCCATGGAGTCAATCTTTCCAACTAGAGGTGGAATCCATTTCCTCCCCTTGGACCTAGGATGTCCTTATGGTTTACTTCAGCCAACAAAATAAAGCCAAAGTGACACTGTGTGACTTCTGAGTCTTGATCTCAAGGGAACTTGCAGCTTCTCTAACCTTCCTGGAACCCTGAGATTAGCTGTTGAGTAAGCCTGGACAAGCCTTCTTGAGGATGAGGTACAATGTGGTGAGACAGAGAAGGGAGCCAGTTACCCCAGCTGCTTCAGCCATCTGATCTGAGTTCCCAGACATGGGAATGAAGACATATTACCCCCATCAAAGCAATGGATGACTGCAGCCACATCAAAGATCCCAAACCAGCTTAGTACCAACTGCCACCTATTTATGAACAAGTAAGGGGTTGCTGTTTTACAGGCTTTATGTTTGGGGAGGTTTGTTATAGACAAATAGGTAAGTGAAGCAGAGTGTCATTTCAACATGCTCCTAACCTACTTCAAATAAAGTGAGGTCAATCTACCTACTAGATCAACTCCTAAACTAAACTGCTTTGAAGATCCTACAGACTAGTTATCTTGGCAGGGTCAGTACTACATCAGAACAGGGGCCTCAGGACATATTTTTCCAAAGCATCTACTGACAAATATCTGGCACTTTATCAGACACAAATACATTCCACAGCTGTAACGTAAAATTTGTTTTATAACAAAAAATTTTAAAAGATCCTAGGAGTTTAATATTCTTGGAGGGCATTGGATATATTGAAATCTAAACATGTTTTCATTACCTAAACTTCATTGTAAGTTTGTTTTTTCTTCACAAAAACACTTGTCAATACAAAAGGAACATTTAATATTTTCAAATGCAGGTATTCCAATTTTCCCACACCGATACACATTAAGCTGCTTGATATTCAAAACTGTACATGATTAAAATTTTTTATCTATACAATGCACAAGTTCTTAAGTGTTCCTTGGTTTACTTCCCCAAATGTATCTTATGCCCCTTGAAATCAGTTTGCTACTTGAAAGCTAGATCAATAAATGAATAACAAAAATATATTTAGGGATGAAAATAAGGAACTGGGCCCAGGATTAAGGGAAATTACATCATGATGTAATATTTTGAACCAATATTAACTTATAGTTTCATTTGGTAAAAGACGTGGTAAAAAAAAAAAAAAAAAAGACTTTCATATAGCTATGCTTTTAAACAAAGGTATCCAAATTTTATTACATACTTCCAGCAGCAAAACAATAAAAAAATTTTTTTAATAAAATTGAGTATACTCAATGGCTCTATAAGCATTTATATGTTAGGTTACTAATGGTTTTCCATAGTAAAATTCATATAGTAAGTATTATAAAGCTAAATTTTTATTTTTAAATAAAAATGTAAGTAGACCTTCTATATAATTTTAGTGGATCATTTTCCACCCATGCACTCTACTTTGGAGACTACTGGTTTTAAAAACAATTTTTTCCCATGAGAAATAAAACAGACTAAAATTATATTCATTTTATTCCTTATTTCTAATCCCCTTTAAACCTTCTGTTTTTAAAAGAAGTCATATAATTTGCTATAAAGATAAACATAACCAGTGACACAAATATCTCAATTATAGGAAATTCCAGAAACTATTCAAAAGCTACCAACTCCTACTTAAAAGGGAAAACAATTCTTGAATGCTATTATTATGCATATGCTGTATTATGTACAACATAGCTACAGTCTGCTGATGAATGCGAAGAGTTCATGGATGGTCAGGTAAGTATCATTTTTCTTGTGGAATAATATATTTGATTCTCTCCTGATTCTGCTGGAAAATGAGACATGGAGCATTCCATTTACTGTCGGATACCCCACCCTACTAGAAATTTAACTAGGATCTCCTCATTACAATTTTAAATTCAAGTTTGAGTCACTTCCTTATAAAGGAATAAAGAATGTTTCTTTTGCCTGGAAAATACATCATGAACTCCAGCTACAACAGCAGGGTCAAATTTTTTAAATGACTCCCAAGTACTTACCATGAGTATTTTCATTCACTCTCCCTGACGGGACTAACTCTGATACCTTCTTGCTTACTTCCTAAATAGGTTCACTTGTCTCTTTACGTCTTGTCATCTTTTATGTATGTGAGAAAAAACATGTATATATTCCTATAACGTGTCTAATTTTAAAACAGTTTGGTATTCCCAAGTAACAGATAACCAAATATTTTAATCCTTACCTCAAATTTTTCAGGAACGTGAAGTTTAGGAGATGGAACTCCTACAAGGTAGTCAATTACAACCATTATTACTATTGTGAGAAATACAGCAAAGTCACTGATTGTCGATCGCACCTATATTAAAGGGATTATGTTAAAATAAACACAGAAAAACTATGTGTCCTTTCCATATTATGCTCATCTGTCAGATTAAAATATGCCACTAGAAAGTGTGAATAAGGTTTTTAAAAAGAAACACGTTTCACAACTAACGTACTACCATCCCATTCCTCATGGTACCATTATCTTCCTAGTATTAGTTCAGAAACGTAATATACATTTTTCACTATAAATAAGTTCTTTACAACTATTTGATATCAACCATTAACCCCAAACAATGTATTACTGTTCTGAAATAAGCCAAGGTAAGAAAAACTAAAAACATGAATATTATCAGGACTCCAAAATCACACCCCAGTTACCTTGGTAGGAAAATACCGCTTGGTCTTAAATTGCTTGAGGAATGAAGACAGAAAAAATGTTGTGAAAAATAAGATGACACACCAAAACAGCACATCTGGAATATAAGGTCCATGAAGACTACAAGCTGATCCTACAAATACACCATGAAAGGTTTTACATTCCTGGGGAAAAAAAGGAGGAAAAAAATAGAAAAAGGAGGGAATGAAGAAGATTCTCAGGTATCTAATAAATTACCAATGAATTCCATTGACTCAAAGATGCTAGTGATTGAAGACATGCCATTATTTTGTATTTCACTTAGAAAGAAAAAACACTGCCTAGTCAACTTCAACTGTAAACATATCCTGAGTTCAGAGATGTTACAGTTTGAAAAATATGTGTATCTTAAGTCACTGAACTGAAATACAGTATTTTGCCAAGTTACACCACACAGTCCTTTCCTTTCAATTCCATATTCCCTTTAGTGAATGCCTCAAGAGTGAATAGCAATTCCCAAATATTTTGTATGCATTCTTGCTGGCCCACAATTTTACTATCTTTCCTTTACTTCTAAACAAGTTGCTTAAAACAAAAGCAACTGACAGAAAATTACTACTGCGTCTATTTACAATGCTGAATAAAAAATGGTATGGTGCTCAATTCAAATCAGGAATAAAAACTGGTTGGCTTTTCTGACTTAACTCAAAACCATGGGATTAAAAGCAGTAAAGCAACCATTCAAATAGTATTTCTATTTAAAAAAAAAATCTTAATTATATGGCATAATGCAATTATAGAAATCTATTGACCTAATTTTCCTTTTGAGGAAAAAATACTGAAAGGCAACCAGAGATTAACAATGATACACTCCACTAATGTCATTTTTCTCTTACTTATATTCTAAGGAGACTCATTTTAACAAACACAACTCAGGTTTACCAAGAGAAAAATAGTCAAAGCTTCCACTATTCTCAATTTCTAACTGCTGAGATTAGTAACGGTACAAATTTACAACACGGATCATAAAAATAAAAGCTATAAGTATAAAAAACAAAAACAAAAACATTGGGCCTTTTTAATATCAAGAAAACACACAAAAGACCTGTATCTGTAATATCAAGACCTCCTATTCAACTTGAAATGAGGTTTTTTTTAACAGATCACTTTCATTTGAGCACCTCTATTAACTCTACCTCTTTCGTAGCAAAATTGACTTTTTAAATATAAAACAGTCAAGCATTAATCTAAGTTGATTACTGATATATAAATATGCTTTAAATCAGCAGTGTCCAACAGAACTTTCTGTGCTGATGGAAATTTCTATTATCTCCACTGTCCAATGTGGCAGCCAGATGAACTGGCTGAGCTCTTGAAACATGGCTAATTCGACTGAGAACTGAACTTTTAATTAACTGTATTTAACTTAAATTTAAATAGACACATGTGGCCAATGGCTACTGTACTGGACCATACAGACTTAAATTATCAGTGAGATAAAACTGCAGATGGTACCCTTCCCATGATATATCGATATCCTTCCAGTTATATGATACCCTTCCAATAATATAATTATTATCTTTAGTGAGAAAACAATGCCTTGCAATTGCTTATATGATATAAAAAGCACCAGAGAAGCTCAAGAGATCTAGGTTTTAATTGATATTGCCAGAATCACTTTATGTCTTAATCCCAAAGCCCAATCTGGGAATATACAGTAGGTGCTCATTATGTGTTTTTGTCCTGTTTTCTCCTTTCTTAGGTGCTTAAGTTACACTAGTCTCTACAGACAAGACTACAGAGTAGACTACTAGACCACAGTTATAAAGTTCAGTTTGACATCGAGGACATTAGGAAAGCACTCATGATCTTCTAAATAAGATGTTCATGGAGCAGATAAACTGATACACGGAGAGCAGGACAAATGGATGTTGGCTGCTCTGTCAACTCCAGTATATGCAACCAGAGTCCTAGCAGACACTTCCTTTGAACTTACCAATCTACATGGAATTGGAAACCAGAAGTATATTCACACTTTTTTAATAATTAAATCTTGGAAGTCACATTTAATCCATTTTTATCTCCCTTACCAGGTTCATTCTTTTCAGCCTACACTTTTTACTACATGCTACATAAACATGTGGTAACTTCTGTCTGCTCAACACAACACTACATTCTGAAAACACATCATACCTACTATCAAGAAGAAAATGTAGGTCTACTCATAAAAAGCTAAAGAACTAGGTTAATATTTGCAAAATCCTTTATTTCATCATGTACTCACAGGAACAGTGAGATTCCCCCAGAAAATATCATCTGCTGTTAAATTCTTTTCCTTCCATATTTTTAGAGTTTCATTGCTAGGGTTAGGAGGTTCAACACATACACATCTGAGAAACGAGAACAGGATAAAATTTTAAGCGTCCTGCATTTCATGTCTACATTTTATTAAATCAATCACATAGTGTGGTAGTGTTGTTGTTAGATCTTATTTATTTATTTGAGAGAGAGAGCGAGCACGTGTTGGGGGAGGCACAAGAGGAGAGGGAGCAGCAGATTCCCCGCCGAGCAAGGAACCCAGACATGGGGTTTGATCCAGGACTGTGAGATCAGGACCTGAGCCGAAGGCAGATGCTTAACAGACTGAGCCACCCAGGCACCCCTGTGGTAGCTTTTAATTAAACTTTTTCCCATGCTGCAATGCATGGAAACTAGAAAGTGAAAACACATCAGAAACAATGGAACGGAACAAGATTTGGCTTATGTAAATAAAACATAACTAATCAATATCAACAGAATGATATTTTACAGAATATCTTAATGAAACCTGTTAGATATATCCCTTGGGGAGGGATACTATTTTCTTTAAAAATATGAAAAGATACCACCATGTTTAGCAAGGTTACTCTCCACTAAATCTTACCTAAGGGGAGCTGCTCTGCCTCCCCACCCACACATACACAAAACACACAGATTCCCAAAAAAAGCAATGCTCCTATTAATGCTTGGTACTCTGACAAGCCCTACCTACTCATGCTCATCCTCTACTGATCTTAAGATTCATCTTAAAGAAATAAATGAAACACGGTTTTTCATCAGGACAGGACTAGGAAGGTCATAAGGAGATCAGAGAGTTCAGTTTATATCCAGAACTAGCTCCCCTAAAGAAAAGCTAGAAACACACACAAGCAAAGAAATCTCTAAATGTGAATTTAAAAAATAAAAAGAAGAAAAATAATTAAAAAATAAAAAATAAAAAGAAGAAACACACAGGAATATTTCCAATTAGATTATGAGCTGTTTTGAGAACAGGCAAGAGGCTGGACTTTGGATTCATTCCATGCTCTATCACTTACTAGCTGTTTGACCCAAGGCAGGTTTTAATCTCCATGAGGCTCAGTTTCTTCATACACAAAAGGGGCTATGATACGAATAATTAAGTCACACGTGATATGAATTATGCAACACCGCTAACACAGTGCCTGCAAATGCTCACAGGATGTCAGCTGAACGAATCATGATCACATGTAATTACTCAGTTAACCACACTGTTCTGATTGGCCAGCACTAGCTATAAAGCCATGCTTCATGAAGGTCAAAGGAGTAGGGAAAGAGAAAAAAACCAAGAATAACAGTTAAACAATTAACTAGTTTAAGAGCAAAGAAGATAGCACAAAACAGAATTGGCATCAGAGTGTCTCTAGTCTCCTCAAATAGGTCAATGTCTCATAGAAATTTTCATATCCCTCCCTACTCTGTCCATCAAAGTTGAGTATGCAAGGAAGGAATGGAGGGAAGGGGGGAGAACACAGGGATTTGGGACTTGCGTAGGCAGAAAGAGGGAACTGTACCCTTGTTTGTTGGTAACCACTTTCTCCATGTAAGTCGATCAAATGCAGGATCACATTTACACCAAGCATGACTGCTCAAGACAGCAAATACAGGCCTCTATCTACCTAGATACATTTAATTTTAATAACCTATTTGACTTTATTGAATATATTTGCCAATCTTTTGTAACTATTATAATTACTTTTCAAATCTTATTTTATTCTAGAGTCTTAAAATATTTTCAATTCATGATTTTCTTATCACAAAGAAAATACTGCACCAAATAGCATATGACAGTGTACTGAAATTATACTTTAAAAATAACTTCAAATAAAAATTATCAGACTTCAAAAATGTTAATGAAAGTGCAAAACATGAAAAAATGTAAGAAACAGGAGCGCTGAGAGTCTCAGTCCGTTAAGCATCTGCCTTCGGCTCAGGTCATGATCCCAGGGTCCTGGGATCGAGCCCTGGCGCATTGGGCTCCCTGTTCAGCGGAGAGTCTGTTTCTCCCTCTCCTTCCACCTTGTGCTCTCTCTTGCTCGCTCTCAAATAAATAAATAAAATCTTAAATGTATGTATGTATATATTGGCAATCCCAGTTATATACACACATATATAAAGAAAAAGAAAAATATAAGAAATATTACATCCTACATTCAGGATTTGGCTAAAGAATACAAGATCTAATATAACTGTCTGATTCAAATACCAAACAACTGAAATTAAATTGATTCAAACAGAAGACCAAAAATACATAACATTTGAATAAGCTGTTTCAGGGAATAAAAATGATTGAATTTGTTCAACTGTATTTATGTTCATTGAGTGCTCTGGTAAAATCTCATCTGTAACAAACAAGTCAACCTCCATATGGCTAGTTGGGTAGTTACAGCTAGATATACAATGAGCATCACAATGCAAAAAAATGCATTTTTTTTGGCTCAGACATCTCTCCAAAAATACATTTTAATACTGGGGAAAACAGAAAAACTTACGAGTAGTGGGTCAGTTCATCTAAATTGTTGTGCATATTAAATGCATATATTTCTCCTAAATGAAAGAGCTTCTCCAAAGCCTCGTAGATGAATATGATGCAAATTAGAGCTGCAAAAGCCTCCTCTGTGAATCGAGTAATATAACACACAAGGCTGCTCGCATCTGTTGCAACCAAAACAATGCACAAGAAAGAAGTCCACAGACCAATACTGGTTCTTAAAGACAGATAGGAAAGCTGATAATCTCTGTTTAGGGAAAAAACGTGAACATGATCAATATACACACACGGCAATGTATATCTTTAGTTAAAATTTCATTAACAGGCAATAAAAAGAGTATAAAAACGTAAGATTCCTAAAAAGAGCAAATTACAAGATAACAATAATGACTAAAGAAAGCATTCTGTATGTTCTGCTATAACTGAAGATAATAAAATTATAATGGTTATATTTTACTTATATAAAAGATTTACAGTGAAAGTCTACCAGGCAATTAATATTTCAAAAATAAAGACCTCACTCTGAAATCAGTTCTGAGGAATAAATGACAGATGTCCCTTCTACAGGTCAACTGGATCTGACTCTCTGAAGACCCAGAAGCTCTATGTCAACATGATAACCACACCCCTGTCCCCTTCACTGCCACCACCAATACCATCCCTCCTACCAGTGTCACCGCAGAAAGTGACTTCATTTTTTAAATTCAATGTCAAGTACGAAATTACTTTAAGACCACAGGGTCCAGAACACTTCAGTGCATTCTCTCTTAGTCTATGTAGCTAGCATGCCAGACTGGAATCAGAATCAGCTTGTTCAGTGAGGAAAGAATCAGAACAAGATGAGTTAGATGCATCAAATATTTAATAGGATCAAGTTGTTTCAGGCTAAAATATTCAACTACATTTGTCTCACAAAAGGAATAGTACTGACCATGTCAAATCCCAAGTCTACCAGCTACAGCACCCTGCTCTGATTCCCACTGCGAACAACCCTGCCAGTGGAGACTGACACCTCAACAGACAGCTATGGTTCCTTCTGGTAAACAGGCCTGACTGATAAAGTCAGCTTGAACCTCCAAGATCCACCTCTTTTTTAAATTCCTTTATAAGACCAACATACCTACTAACCAACAATTAGATTAACACCTTCTTAGTGGGTTGAAATTTGCTAGAACAAAGGATTCTTATTGTCCAAGTGATTTGTTGACCAGGACTCAAATCCACTGATTTTATACTCAAGGTGACTGGGGTAGGAATAATGGTAGGGACCAGAGTAGGGTCAACCACACGGTAGCCCCAAAATACTGAAAATACATATATATTGATCAGATCTTCCTTTTCAGCTACTAAATACATAATGCACTTTTAACTAAGTTAATAAACAATAAAATTATACACATATGTAAACACATGTGATAGGTAAATAACAATTACGTACCTGCAGAATTTAAATAAAATTTTTTCAAACACTAAAACTGGACCTGTGCTCCCCAATATTGTTAGAGGTTGCCCAGCAAACAACGAATAGGCAATCCCAGTTAATGATGCTCCAAAAAGAGACTCTATTGCACTCTGTTTAAGGAAAAAAGAAATGAATAGAAGTAATACATCATAAACATATCTCTAACCTACTAAAATACATGTAAGACATCTGGAAAATAAAAATACTGATCATAGTTAAAAATATAAAGCAGACACAACTTTTAAGTCAAATTTAAATTTTAAATATGGAAAATTACAAATACATTTTAAATACATAGGGAAAATTGCTTTGTTTTCATATTAAAAGTAAACTTTTATAATCAACCTTTATTCAAAACACAGTATTGTGGGAGGCCAGGAGGGAGGAGTAAAGGGAAGAGAGACACAGAGATTTTCTATCTGTAGGTATTTCATTTCTTAAGCTTGTGGGGAGTACAAAGATGATATTTTTGTTATGTCTGAAATAGTTCACTTAAAAAAAAAATAGTAAATACTCCATATGGTGTGCACAAAAAAACTTTTTCAAATAAATCAGAAATTAACAAGTGATGCTAACGTTCTCAAAATGATTTCTAAAGAGCAATTTTCCACACATTTTAAAGAAATTAATCTTATATGATGGGCTTAGCCAACAGATTATCAAAAATAAAATGCTTTTATCCTGAAACAGATGGAAAATCTCTTTAAAAAACTCACAGCAACCATTAAATGAAGAAGTACCTTACTATTAAGGCTTGGTAAAAAACATAAAATAAGAAAATGAAAGACTCAGGAAAGTTGTAATCAAAACTAGTATGTCGCTTCTGTAGCACTACCAATATTACCTTCTAACTGATTAGGTTATTAGATGGTAAGGGGTAGAGGCTATGCCACTAGACAGAGGGGTGGGATCAGAAAGAGAAGAGCAGTTTACCATCTACAAACATCAAGGTCAACTGGAAGGCACTATCAAGAGAGGAAAAGCCCATCGTTGGTAAAGCAAGGAAAAGAAGCTTGTGAGAAACACCCCTCCTGGACCTGACAGGCAGCACAGCAGCAGGCAAGGGCGGGCTTCAGAACCAGATTTGAGCAGGAGACCCATTACTACTAGACGTTAAGCCATAGCCATATCTCAAACTTTTCAAGCCCAATCTTTCTCATTTTTAAATAGGAGTGACCATAGCCAGGAGAACTTAATGAAGCCGTGTTTGTGAAAATACCTAGCAAGCCTACAGGCTGCCATACCGAATGCACTCAACAAACGGCAGTAAATCTCATCGTCAGCAATAACAGCATCTTCCAAAATCAAAATCACAAAAATAATAGTATGCAGTAAAAGCATTACTCAACTATTACTATAAAAATAGGATCAAACTCACATATCTTTGGCAAAACGAAGTGTCCATATTAACTGCTAAGCCATTATAAAATCCTTAACTCAATTAGAATATGTATAATTTAGGAATGAATTTAAGCAGAAAAAAATGTCTAAATAGTATCTAGAGATAGAAAGCAAAAAATTCAGAAGAGAAGCAAGGAGATGGCAAATAAAGAAATGCTAACGGGGGTTGGGGGGGGTGGAAATAGGCACAAAATTAGTTTCCCTTCCCAACATCATGTTGAAAAGGCAGAACCTGCCACATGAAGACCTTCCCCTCACCACTCCGCCACTCCTCTCCCAACCCCTTATTGGCACATTTCCTAGAGTTCCTTCAACCAGATCTATTCTTTTTCTAATTTCTCAACTGTTTTTATGTTCATCCCCAAACTGAATGGTCTCTCTCCCTAAAGAAATCACAGCCCCACCACCCTGCCTTCCCCTCACCACATTCAGAAGTTTCCACTGTACCCATGAGAAGCCCTACCGGTTACCTTCCCCGCACTACACCTCTCCACTGCATGGCACTGACCACGCCATGCTCCTCTTTCCTCTTTCTCAAAGCCTCTATTTTGGTTTTTGCAAGATTACATCATCCTGATTCCTCTTTTGAAGTTCTGACGGTTCCTGTGGCTAATCTGCAGAGCTATTTTCCTCTTCATTCTCATTCTTCCTCTAGTCCACAAACTAAAAAGTAACTTCCTACTTTTTCCCTCTCCAGTCACTATAAATTCTCCCCCTTGTTAACCTCATCTATTCCCAACCTTTATTTCTCCTCCTTACCACTCGACAAACTCTGGAACTTGAGGTTCCAATAAAGCACCTGAAAACAAACGCATCATCTCCGCATCACTTTCCTCTGTAATATTCCTGATGTCTCTCTATTCCTGCTACTTCGGCTGCTACAGCTCTTCCTTGATCGCACTCACGTGCAGCACAGCACCCCGTGACGTATTACCTACGTGGACACTAGCTTATCTTTCTCTCTTCGGCTAGGATCCATCTTACATCTGTCTATATTCCTCCGATGCCTAAAGCACTACCACACGCACGTGGTATTAAATGGTGGGATAAGAAGGGCAGGCAGCGCAGGACAGTCCGAAAGCAAGCAGCAGCATTTCCGTGATGGTAACAGGTAAGACACATCTCCAGGAGGACCAGCAGAGTTACATGTACAGTTTGAGACAGCACAGCACATAAAAGCAACTTACTAAAAATAGATTCCCTGATACAATGATTGCAGAATAAGGTAAAAGAATCTAAGTAATCAAAAATAAATTGAGTTTCAAAGGAAATTTCAGTTGTCAAGTCTGTCTCATGTTCAGCTCACAAAGTATTTTAATTCAATAATTATCATTACTTAGCTTTTGGCTATTTTTTTAATCTTCTATCTGTAAAAAATGTATTTCCTCCCAAGAGTAAATACAATCAAATAAAATACACTCAAGAATTACAGATCATCTCATTTAAATGCCATTAAAATGTATATAAACAAAAAGTCTTTCAAGATTTTACAAAGCACTGGATACTGTTATCATGCCTCCCACAGCCCCTTATACAGCATTACCAAGAACAAAAACTCATAAACACTTTCATTTTAGTCATATCAGAATATGGATTCAGTTTTCAGTTATACTTAAAACATTATCTACCTTTACACAAATTTAATAACAGCAAAATAAACAACACTAAAAATCCACCGTTTGTCTACAACTTCCAAAGTCTAGTTGTCGAGTCAGGGCCTACCCACCAGGGGTGATGAGTTAATATTAATTACATGGCTCTAACGAATCCTATGTTGCCTTACAGGATATCAAGTAGCCCCGGTTGATAAACTCCCCCACCCATGACCCACCCAGCATCAGTTCAGGTTGTCTCCCACCGCCAACCCTTCCCCACTCCCCACAACAGAGACAATACAAGCCTTTTACTCAATTTATAAAACCATTCATCCAGCAAGCCAGGATAAACTTTTTTTTCTTTTCTTTTTCTTTTTTTTTTCTTTTTTACCTCAACTGTGCATCTTCTCCTGCTCAAATGGCTTCCCCATGTTTTCCATAGCAATTACCTTTGGGGGAAGTCTGCTTTGGGACAGGTTAATCATGCTGTGGGTAGACTCTTCAAATGAAAGTATATGAATAGTGAGACAAATGCATACAGACACTTGCCTCTGAAGAGCTAAGAGCCTGGCCACTACCAATCTTTGTACTCACTATTCTGCCTTCTGTAGCTTCTCCAAGCAGCCCTCCAAAAGTGATTACAGGAGACATACAGGCACAGTATAGGAAAAGAATCGAGGCCAGGCACTGTAGACTTAATGCATCCTTGAAGTCACTCAAGAAAAAAGGTGTTTTCCTTTTGATGTCAAGTATCAAACCACCAAAAAGCCTAAATAGGTGAGATGAAACTCGTCAAACTGTACACTAGAGGATTCTAGCTAGTTCAAACTAAAACTATGGGCTACATAAAACTGCTGATGCCCAGTGTTTCGTCAACAAAAATTAATATCCTACTTAAATCATGATATAAATTATAGAAGATACACTCATTTAGTCTAATCCACTGATAGAGGAAAGGCAGATGTCATTAAGTTAAAAGACACATAAACATCTATATTTTATGGACTATATATTGAGAAGACTGCAGACAAATGATTTTATATGAGTAAATGTAATTTCAGACACAAATGTACAAGAAAATATACAATAAAAATCAGTAAGATCTAACACTCCATTCATGAAAATGTGCATAAGCAATTCTATCAATTATTATCTACGTTATAAATCTTAAAGGCAAGTGTCAGAAATATCAGGAAGGCAATTATAATATAAATCATAAATCCCCAAATACCCTTTAATATGAATATACTATGTTGTGCTTAGACTCAGTCAGTAGTGAATTAAATAATTTTAATGACTTTTAAAATTAGTACTTCAATCACATAAATATTTCTTGTCCAGGAGAAAAGCCTAAGAACTACTTCATTGCATTTAATTTGCTGAATATGTACTCAAGCTTATGTGCATATTAATAAAACTAAGAGGCTTTAATTAGGAAGTTTAAAATCTGTATTTGCACATCAAAGCCTTACCATTTCAATGTTCGCTTTTTGTTTTTTGGGGGTTTTTTTCCCTTTTTTTTTTTTTTTTAAGTCAGACTCTTGGATACATCTAATATAAGCTCTGTGAGGGGTAGGGACTTTTTCTTGTTCACTGCCTTTATCACCAGTGTCTAGAACACTGCCTACGACACAGTAGGTACTCAGTAAATGCTAGTGACAAATCAGTAATTGAAAAAGGTTTTGTGACTCATAAAACATACAATCACTCTGTAGAAAATACGCCAAAAAATTAATCTTATGCTTTAAAATGCTTTGGATGTTTCAAGGTTTACCATTCTACCTTTTTATAAAGTTAATACTGAAATAAATACTAAACACACATTGACAAGTGTTAAGTTACTCTATAAATAATCTGACAGCAAGGGAAATCAACTTGCAATAAAAAAGGATAACCTAGAAAATGAAACAGCCTCATCAAATCAATAACTGATCAATAGGAGGCTCTCGTGAGACCATGAAATCAATGGGAGCCTGACTTGGTATTTCTCAGTCACTAACCCTATCTCAGTCTGAAGTCTGAAGAAATAACACTAACAGCTAGTACTAGACCACCACCTTTTGCACCAGGGCAGTCTTATTCTCTATGATAGTTACAGAGACTATAATATAATGAATAAACAATGAATGAATAAAATGTGAGTTTAAGTTTCTCTAAATTTTATCTTCAGTATGCCAGTTGTTATTTTTCTTCTATACAGTATTCTTTAGGCATGTCATCAATACCCCTAATAATGTGTGTGTATAAAATGACCTGATTTGCTAAACAAATATTTAAGATTCAAAATCTCTTCTGTTCACAGCAACCACCAGTGGATAACAGAGTCAATATCTACGTGCTTTGCTACAGTATGGAAATACCGTAACATTTCTCTACTTCTACAAAATATTTTAAGACAATGTTTGCACCCAGCAATACTTCTATATTACAAAAATTAACATCTTCGACAGTTTTTCTAACTAGGTTTCTAGAGCTCATTACCATGGTTTAATTATGCTTCACTGTCTAATTTTACATTATCTCAGGATATAATGCTCATTTAAGAGTTTTAAGTCTAGGCACACACACAAAAAATATCAGTTACAATTCCTCTCTGTTCCCATAATTCTCTACCTTCAAGAATTTTAATAGCACTCAACAACTTCTTCAAGAACCTTCTCTATAGGTAATGCAAATTACCCTATATACTATGTAACTGCTCGATATACAAAATCCAAGTATATACTAGTAAAATTATTTTAAAATGCTTAATTTTCCTTAACATCATACACTTACAAAATAATGCACTTTTTTAAATATGAAAAAAACACTGTGTAAGATTAACTTCCATATATTTCCCAAAAAAAGAATTTTTATGCCTTCATCAAATCAACCCCTACTCCCCCCAAAAGACTCCCACAATGAATCAGTATTTATACCCACCGTCCAGTCCTCTGTAGCTCAGGCCCAGCATGATGATCGGCCTCTTTAGGAGTATCACCAGAGCTGGGGGCAGATCCATTGGGAAATACAGGAATCTTTCTCTTTTCCTGCATTTCACAAAAAGCACATTTTCAGAATTCTGTTTTAAAAAAGCTAAGACAGTACCCTTGAATTAGAGGGAACAGGAGACCTTATATTGATTACATATCTAATCAGTGTTCCTAGAAAAAATGATTCCTGATATAAACTTCCACTTTAAATAAATTGCACTTTAGAATAGTGTCTAATATTTGTCTCTATTAGTATTTTAAGCTTATGACTGGCTTTTTGTATTTTGTATTCTACTATCAAATATACTATAAAACACATTCACACACCATTTCAAATTATGAATCAGCAATAGGAAAATAAATATCCAATAAAACATCTCTCCAACCAGAATATTTAAAATATTGCTCATGCTAACTAAGGAAAAGTATACTTTACATTAATAAAAAAGTAAATGCCATTTTTCTTTTACCAAACTACTTCCCTGAAGACATAAGCAGTACAAGAGCTATTAAACACATTTTCATAAAAATAAATTTCCCATTAAACGTTACTACTAATTCAAGATTCTCATGATAAAAAGGATGCCCCCACCCCCCTCACTTGAAGATAAAGGAGCTAACTTTTAATTTGTTACATCTAGAGGTCAAAGGTTGTGTGTGACAAAGGGAGCAAGAGGAAAGGAGACAGAAAGAGAAAGGAGAGAGAAAGGTGGGGGAGGGGTGTTCCTCCTGGGTCAAAAGCTCTGGGTGACCTACAAACTTACACTACTTGGTTTGTATGTTCAATATTTATAGAGTAGCAAAACGTATCTATAATTATAAGATTACCATTTGAAAATGTCAAAATTAAAACTAACATATCTTAGCTCAAAGGGGAAAGAGAACAAAATTACAGAATTCCTAAAAAGCAAAAATAACGGAAAATACTATATATCACATCCATGGGATACAGCAAAAGCATCATTCAAGAAAATTAAGCTCTAAAATTAAGAAAAACAAAAGGATAAAAATAAATGAATTAAATATCTAACTCAGGAAATGTGAAAACAAAATTCCTGAAGTGAATAGAGTGAAATAAAACAGCTAAAAGCAGAAAGTGAGTCACAAAATGAAATACTTTTTTAGGGCGCCTGGGTGGCTCAGTTGGTTAAGCGACTGCCTTTGGCTCAGGTCATGATCCTGGAGTCCCTGGATCGAGTCCCGCATCGGGC